TGCCTGCGGGGGGGGGGCGCGGCCTGCGGTGGGGGGGGGGGGATAGAGGGGGGCTGCCTGCAACGGCCCCGGTGCTGTGGCCCCCCCGTTCACAAGCTGAAGACACAGGGATTCCCCCCCCCGACTGTCCGCCGTGGAAGCACTTTTGCAGTGGGGAAACTGAGGCAGTGGCTTCAGCGGCGTTCCGGCCGCCCCCCCCTCGGCTTGTCCTGCCTGTACCGGGGGTGCAGCGGTGCAGGCAGGGAGCCAGGCAGGGCGGGGGTCACGTCGCACCAGGTCCCGCTGCAGGCAGGAAGCCGAGTGTCAGGGCGGGAAGAGGAAGAGCGACTTCCCCATCCGAGGGGGAAGGGGAAGGGTCCGGCTCGAGGGGGGGCCACCGCCCCTTCACCCTTCCCCAGAGCCCCACAGCCCCGGAGGGCTCTGGGGAAGAGGGTCATGTCCCCAGTCCCCAGCCCGGGGCTCTGCGCCGATGCGGCATCCCCAGCTCCTCCGCCCCGGCACCTCCGCTGCCGGCACATGAGCCGCTGCCCCGGCCGAGATAACCCTCCCAACGGGATAAATCCCGGATCCCGGCGGGGAAAGGAGATGCCGGCCTCAGCCCGGCCCCACGGGTGGGCAACCTCTCGCCCCAGCACTGTGAGGTGCCCCCGTGCCTCGGCTGGGCTGGGCTCGGCAGCGCCCGGCTCCAGCCTGCTGCAGGAAGGGGAGCAGGATGTGGCCCTTAATGGCAATTGCAGAGGGAACCTGAGGAAGGCAAACAGGGAAACGCGCTGGGCTCGGGGATAAACACAGCTGCCGGAGCAGACGTCAGCCCCGAGGGGCTGCGCCAGCGGCCGCTCTCCGGCCTGGCCGTGGCACCAGCCCGGCCTCTGCCCCGCCGGGGCCAGCACCACTTGGCGTGTGTGGCACCAGGCGCCAGGGCTGGGGCACATGGCAGCAGCCCACACACTCCCACAGCCCAAATCCGCCCCTGGCTGTGTGCCCTGCTGCCCTCCATCTCCTACCGGGACGGAAGCACGGCACAGTGTGGCATGGCACAGCACAGTGTGGCATGGCACAGGGTGCTGCAGCAGTCTGGCTGTCCTGGCAGCACCGTCCTGGGGACGATGCTGTCCCCGTGCATGCCAGCCACAGTGGCACACACTTTTGTCCTGGATCAGGGGGTGCGGTTTCCCGTCAGGGGGTCTCTGGGCTGCTGCGGACCGCGGGGGCTGCATGGGGGGATGCGGCTGGCCGGGAAGCTCACCCGGACTGTGGGATGGAGGGTGAACCGAGTGTGACCTGCCCCTCTGCACCCTCCAGCCTCGGGTGTCCGAGCAGGGGGACCATGGTGACCCCAGCCCCAGCATGTCCCCCTCCCCTGACCCTCTCCCTTTCCCACAGGCTGCTGAAGGGGGACGTGAAGGACGCTGAGCCGCGGGGATGCAGAGCATCAAGTGCGTGGTGGTGGGCGACGGGGCGGTGGGGAAGACCTGCCTGCTCATCTGCTACACCACCAATGCCTTCCCCAAGGAGTACATCCCCACCGTCTTCGACAACTACAGCGCCCAGAACACGGTGGATGGCAGGACTATTAACTTAAACCTGTGGGACACGGCCGGCCAGGAGGAGTATGACCGCCTCCGGACGCTTTCCTACCCCCAGACCAACGTCTTCATCATCTGCTTCTCCATCGCCAGCCCGCCCTCCTACGAGAACGTCAAGCACAAGTGGTACCCAGAGGTGTGCCACCACTGCCCCAGCGTGCCCATCCTCCTCGTCGGCACCAAGAAGGATCTGAGAAACAACCCTGAGACCATGAAGCGGCTCAAAGAGCAGAACCAGGCGCCCATCACCACCCAGCAAGGCATCAGCCTCTCCAAGCAGATCCGCGCCGTCAAGTACCTGGAGTGCTCGGCGCTCAACCAGGAGGGCATCAAGGATGTCTTCACCGAGGCGGTGAGGGCCGTGCTCAACCCTGTCCCGGCCAAGCCCAAGAAGCCCTGCGTCCTTTTGTGATGGGGCTGCTGGCGACCAGCGAGAGACGATCCTGCCCCTGCCCTGCTGCCCCCCAAGACACTGCCTGGCACCACCAAAACCCCCTGCCCACCCCGGTGCCTCCCTGAGCCTCGCTGCCCCCCCAGGGATGGTGGGACCGAGGCCGCCAGCCCAAAGCCACCAGCTTTAATAATATAGACCTTGTTTGCACTAACTGGCTGTCTGCCCCAGGGGGCTGCGGGGCTCCCCCAGCCCTGCAGGACCCCCACCCCAGCCCTGGCTGTCAGCGTTCGCTTTTGGGTGACACCTCTCTGGTCCCAGCACAGACCAACATTTCCTGAGAAGGGGATGCTCAGGGTGGCCGAACCTCCCTCCTGCCCTGAGCACCCTATGGGGACCCACCACCCCCATCCCCTGCACCTGCGGGGCTGCGGGGGGGGGCACAAGGGTAGGTCCTCAGCCCCTCTGTGCCAGCCCTGGCGCGCAGTCACCTCTGAGCATCCTGCTGCCCCGGCACTGGAATGGCCCCATCCTGCTGCGGGGTCCCGGCGGCTGTGCCGGGGGTATCCTGGGCCGGTGTTTGGGGTGAGCCCAGCCCGGCACAGCATCGCCGGCTCTCCGGGGCCAGCACCGGGGAAGTCCAGCCCTGGTGAGAGCAGTCGGAGCTGCCGATGGGCTCTGCCGGAGGAGAGCGTTCCTGCACCATGGGGTGCCGGGGCTCCACGGGGCAGTGGGACTTGCCTGTAACCAGCTGCTCCCCGAGTTGCTTCTCCTGAAATAAAGAGACCTGCCCAGGCTCCCCGTCTCCTGTGCTCTCCCGCGCGCGCCTGCCTTCCCCAAGCACAGGGACACCCCGGGGGGGACGTGGGTGCCCCCACCCCAAGCTGGGCTGGGACCCCTTGCCCTGCCAGGGCCAAGCTGAGGGCATTCACAGCAATGCCGCTGCCTGCCGGGGTTCTCTGGCCAGGGGAAGCTCGGGGTGCCCCTGCCACGGCCAGCCCCGACCCCCAGCTACCCCCATGACTACTCGGGGCCGGCGCTGAACTCAGGCTTGGGGACATTGCAAGGGATAGGAATGGGGACACCGCAGAGGCTGCGCATGGGGACATCGCAGGGGTGGGCGCAGGAGGCTGCAGGAGCGAGGTTCTCTCCCTGGGAGCCCTCCAGCCCCCCCAGCTCCGGCTCTGCCCTGTCCTGCCCCGCTCTGGAGCTGCAGGCAGAGGCCAGATCCCCGCGTCCCCGTGCCTGGGGGCTGGGGTGTCCTGGGGGACCTCGGGTCCCGCAGCCGAGTGCCGAGGCTGATGATGGCGGCAGCGAGGGACCGGCAGCAGCCCCGGCTGCTCGGCCACGCTCGCCACCCGCTTGCCAGCCCCAGCGGGCTGCCGGCACGTGCTGGCCGGCGGCCGGATCCGGCGAGGCCTGGCAGGGCCCCTGCTGCCGCGCTCCTGGGCCCCTTGCCTGGCCCCGGGTCCTTCCTGCAGGAAGGGCAGAGACCCGGCACCCGCCACAAGCCGCCTTTGTTCCCTGCTGCCATTTCCCGGCCAAAGCCAGGGAGCCGGCGTGGGCGACCGTGCCGCGAGGCAGGGTGGCTCTGGCCACATCCCATCCCCGTCCCTGTCCCACGGCCTCCTGGGGGCCGGCGTAAAGCGTGGCCCCCCCCGGGCCCCCAGCCTGGGAAACTGCGACACACACTGGCATGGCCCCGGCTCGTCCCCGGGGGGCTGCATGCCGGTGGGCTTGCAGGTCCCTGCTGCACCGAATCCTGCTCCCTCCGAGGGGGATCCCCATGGCCATGTCCTGCTCCCACTGCATGGTCGCGTGAGGGTTGTATCCTGCTCCCACCACAGCAGCAAGAGCTGACCTTCATTGCTACTATTGTCCGGAGGGGGCTGTTCTGGGGGGGGGGTCCCTCCTTTGGGGCCAGAGCTGCAGGTGGGGTCACCGGCACCCAAGGGGCTGTGCCACCCCACAAGCTCCCACGGGCAGGGTGGACGGCAGAGCCATGGGTGCCACAGTGTGGGGCTGCACAGGGTAGAGCTGGGGGCCCCCCTCCCTCGCCGGGATGCCCTGCACTGTCAGGGGCACCCTCGGTACACCCGAGGTGCCACAGCAGGGATGTCCCTGTGCCCGGGACAGGAGCTGGCCGGAGGTCTCCAGGGCAACCAACACAGACCCCCATCCTCAGGACCGGCAGGGTGCAGGCAGGGGCTGCAGCCCCCGTGGGGGGCGAGGTGCCACCCCGGTGGGATATATGGCAGAGGAGTGGGTGCTGGGACGAGGCGGGGACCCCGGGGTGGGATGCCGAGAGAGGCAGCGGGATGCAGCCCTGCCCTGGCCCCGGAGCGGCGGGATGAGCTCATGGCTGTTCTCCTCCCAGCTGCAATGAGGTCAGGGCCCCGCCATGGCCCCACCACCCCGGCAGGAGCCCCCAGCACAGGGCAGAGGGAAACCGAGGCCCGAGGCAGCTCCCCTGCCCCCTGCTCAGACCCAGCACCGTGCCCCATACACCAGCTGCGTCCGCCCCAGCCCTCCTGGCCCCGGGTTCCGCTCCCCCAGGGTTGCACTGGCCGCTGGCCCCCGCAGCCAACTCAGCGGCCCCCGGGGCTGGGTGGGGAGCAGAGCTGTCAGCTGTGGGGTGGACTCAGCCCGGGAGCACTGTGCCTCCAGCCCGGTTCTCTGGTCGGCTCCCAGCCTCTCCCAGCACCCAGGGTCCATGTCCCACACCCCAGTGATCCATGTCCTGCACCCCAGCCCAGACCCCACCCTGACCTGGGGTCCCAGGAAGGGTCGGGACCCACTGGCCGTGCACTGGCCGGGCTGTGTGGAAGCGGCATAGAGTTTGCCAAGAGCTCACAAAAATACTCAGTGCTTTATTTCAACCTCAAAACCAAGGCGCAGACGCTGGCGGCGGGCAGCACACCACAGGCATGCAGGTAGGGGAGATGGATGGAACCCGGCATGGTGCGGTGGGGACACTCACGGATGGACACGCACAAGGCAGGACCCGCTCGAAGGCCAGCCTGGCCCCAGCTCAGCCAGGGCCACCAGCCAGGGTGCCGCAGCTCCTGCTGGAGAAGGCTCTGCCCAAGCCCCGGGAGCGCAGGGACAGAGCATGGGGACATCCCAGGGGACCGTTGGTGGTGGCTGCATTCACATGAAGGGCGGTTGCAGGAACCCCGTTGGTCCTTCATGGCCAAGCGTAGTGCAGGGTGAGCCCTGGCAAGCACAGAGCTCGCCAAATTCCAGAAGGCTCCTGGTGCCGACAGGCTCAGCCCTCTCCCCCTGCCTGCAATCGCTGCCCATTCCTTTTCCAGAGAGCCTCTAGGAGCGAGCCCTGTGCTACCTCTCCAAGCACAGCACCAGCTTCCCGGTCCCTCCCTGTGCAGGATGTGGCCAAGCCCTCTTGGGTCATAGCCATGGCCCCCGTGAGCCAGAGCAGCAGCAGCCCCCTTCCACCAGTGCTGCCCAGCCCGGCTGTGCACGGGGAAAAGCAGAGGAGCCTGGGGATGCTGCCAGATCCCAGCTCCCACCCAGACGGCACCACCGCCATGTCAGCCCCCTGTGCCCTGGCAGCCAGAGCCCGCAGATGGGGGGTCACCATCAGCACCCTCCTCCCGGGGCAGCAGCAGCACCACTGGACCCCAACAGTTCCCAGCTGAAGCCCTACAGCACAGGGGAAGCCGTGCGGATGTCAGAGCGAGGACCTCCAGCACCAGTCCACTCGCCCTTCCTCCCCAAACTGGGCTTGAACCAGAGCCCAGCATCCCTGCGAGCACCCTTTGCTTGCTGGAGGGGGCTTCTGGGAAAGGCAGAGCAGGAGAGCGTAGATGCTCTCAGCATCTGCTGTGCCCCATGCACCCCTGCACTCGTGCCCTCATGCCTTTCTCCTGTACAGTCTGTGCACAGGCTGGTACATTCGAAGACGCTCCCCTCTCAGCGACACAGGCGTGGATGAGCTGGGACCCTGCCCCAGCCCCGGATGGGAGAGCAGTGCCCGGCGCCAGCCCCCAGCCACGGCTCCCATGCTGACCCCAGGCTCAGGAAGAGCCTGGACCCAGCCCCAAGCACCGCAGCATGGGCCCAGCTCTGCCCCAGCCCCAGCCCTGCAGCAAAGGCTTTCTGAGAAGACAAGGCTGCAGGCTGCTCCGTTTTGGGAGTGCAACCAGAGAGATGCAGGGGCAGAAAGTGCTCCTTCTCCTGAGGCTGCCTTAAGCTTCGAGGCCAAAAAGGCCACCAGCCCTTTTTGAGGACCTTGGCCAAGGACCCCCAGCCTGGAGGAGGAACCATGAGATCACCCACGCAAAGCAGGGGCAGGGCAAGACTCGCCCCCATGCCCTGATGCTGGGAGCAGAATCCTGCTCTGTCCGGAACATCCTCCAAAGAAACAGTCAGCAGGTACCTGCCCCTCTCCTCTGTCCTCCTGCCCATCCCGGTAGGCAGCAGGGAGCTAGGGCAGGGGGTACTGGCCTCGAGGGTCCTCAGCAAGAGCCCCCAGCTACCCTGTAAGAGAGCTCCAGGCACAGCCAGGGACCACGCACAGACACTTGTGGGGTCCAGGACCCCGGGATGATCCTTGCAGCAGCTCCACAGCAAACGCTCCAGCCCCGGCCCTGGGGGCAGCAGGAGAGGGAAGAAGTTCTCTGCCTCCCCCAGGGGATCAGCAGCCCCCACCTGGCACTGGCATCACAGCCAGCACACGGCCGGCTGTGGCACCAGGCCGGCTAGAAATGCTTGTCCTCCAGCAGCGAGCTCACCACCAGCTCCTTGTTGCCAAAGTCCCAGAAGGCAGTCATGTGGAAGGCCATGTTGGAGAGGACAACCAGGTACTCCAGGAAGGCGAAGATGGTGTACACTGCCAGAGGAAACACAGCAGGTGAGGGGAACCTGCAGCCAGGTCTGCCCTGGGAGCTGGGGGATCTCCTGGGGCACCCCTCCAGGGCAGCAGGGCACGCAGCAGGGGGCTCATCCCCTGCTTGAACCCAGGTGGGAGGAGAAGGGCAGCCAGGCACCGTCCCTTGCGAGGGAGCTGTCTTTGTCTCCGTCCAGGATTTGGCAGGCAAGGTGTCACCCCAGCCCCTTCCCCATACACAGCCAACCCATGGGGGAACCACAGCCCTGCCCCAGCCCCCTTACCTCCAGGGCTGCAGTACCAGTTGTGGTGGAAGTAGACGCACACGGCAAATGCAAACGTGATGAAGGTGAAGAAGAAGAACAGCTGCTTCCACTTGTACGACTTGCGCTCCTGGAAGAGGCCAAGAGTTGGGTCACAGCCCCGGCAGGTCCCCGGTGCCTGCCCCATCCCTCTCTCCTGGCACGGCAGGGACCTGCAGAGGCCACGAGCGGCTCAGCCCTTGCCCCTGCAGATGCTGGAGGTGCCAGAGCAGCCACCCCTGTCCCCAGGGAAGCTCTGCCCTGGCCCCACCGCAGCCCTGGGGACACAGGCAGGTACCAGGAGCCCCTTGCACGCTGCCTCCTTGGGCACAGCCATCCAGGTAAGGACCGCATCGGCTGCTTTGGCTGGGCTGCGACCTGGGGGCATGCGGGGGGATCACAGCTACGCGGAGATAAACCGAGCTGCTGCCCGGGCTCCCAGCAGCCCTGAGAGCAAGCTGCCATGGGAGGCTGCAGTATGCCAACACATCCTACCCGGCTCTTCCCCTGGGGACTTGCTGCTGCAGCCAAGTAAGGGGCGATGGGGGCCTCCGGCACAGTCTGACACCAACAAGCCACGCGGCCCCCGGTGAACGTGGGCAACTCCAGCAGGAGGACCACCCGGCCACCCGTGGTGGTGCTGGGATACGCATGGCACACGGGGCCCTCGCAGCTCTCTGAAGATGGGCCAACGGCTCTACCAGATGGTAGATCCTCCGGCTGTGGACAGGGCGGCTGCAGGTGGCCCTAGCTCCCCCGAGTGCTGCCCAACCACCCCGGCACAGGGAATTCACCGGCGTGTGCAGGCGGCGGCAGCCGGCGCTGCACCCCCTTGCTCGCAACTGCACCAGGGAGGAGGAAACCACATGAAGGGGCAGCAGCTGGGGCAGGCGCCATGCTGGAGACGTTGCACAAGCCGCCGTGGCACCAGGGGGGCCCCATCCTGTCCCCCAGCACCACCTCCAACAGTGCAACGGGTGGGAGCAGAGCAGAAGACTGCTGCCAGCAGCCCCCCACGCCCCCAGCAACGCATGGCTTGCTCCTTCTGTGCTAGCAGAGTCCATCCCCCCCCCAGCAAAGGGGGCAGCCCAGGGGGCCAGCCCCCTCCCCTACAATGGGTTCCCCCAACCCAGTGTCCCATCCACAGGCTGCCCAGCACCCCCCGAAGCTGGAGGCTGCGGGTGCAGTGGTCCCCTCCGGGAGCCATGGGGCTGCAGTGGGTACCAGCTCCAGCCCCCTTCCTCTCTTTCTCCCATCAGGCTGAGCATCATGGATAAAGAAACCTAAAGCCCTGGGGTGAGCAGGGAGCCCCCATGGCAGAGGAACCCCAAACCACAGGCAGACACCAAGGAGGGCACAGGGGAGACCCCAGCATCTCCATCCCAGCACAGGGTGGCCAACACGAGGAGCCCTGGGGCAGGGGGGCTGGAAAAAAGGGGGCTGGCCCCATACAAGGGGACCGCGGATGCCACAGATGGCCCAGACACGGGCTGTTATTCCCATTTCTGGGTGGGTGGGGAATTTCCCCCTCGTCTGATGTTTCACGTGAGACAAAAACTCCATTTTCAGGGACTGCTGAGAATAAGGAAAATTTAAATTGCCCCATCACACTTTCCATTACCCCCCGGAAAGCGTGCCGGCAGGCTCAGCCAGCCACCCTACGAGCACAAACGGGTCACAGCAGGGAGGAAAACCCAGAGAGGAAGCACAGCCTCACGGTCGCCTTCGCCATCTGGGGACGTGGGGCCAACGCAGATGCCGCCTCCGCCCCGCAGGGCCCAGGCAGGTCCTTTCCCACTGGGGCTGACAAGGGTCCCTCTCCTAGAGGCCCCCGGGACTCTCCGGAGCAGGGCTTCCCGCAGGCAGGAGCAGGCAGCCCTGCCTGCAGCCCCTGTCCACCTGCCCACCGGGAAAGAGGAGGCGGCCGGTGCTCAGCCGTGAGGGTGCGGGGCCAGCGGCGCGGGGTGGGGTGAGCAGCGGTGCCAACCCGGGAGTTAAATAACAATGAGCGGCCGGGGCTGAGGCGTTATGTAAAGTTTCACACCGGAAAAGCGGGTCACAAAACAGCCTTGTTTTCATCCAGGTCCCACGGCAGCGGAAACGGTTGTGCTACGAAGCGGCGGCAGAGTCCCGCTCGTCGTAGCAAGGTGAGCGGCAGCTCCCCGCTGCGCTCCCCTGCGCAGCACCGCGCCGTCTCATACGGCGCCACGCCGTGCTGCGCTGCATTGCATGGGGCTGCACCCTGGGACGTGGCACTGCATCATACGGCACTGCAGCGTGGTGTGCTGCGCGGCACCGTACAGCTCTGAACCGCGCCGTGCTGCACCACGCCGCTGCACTGTATCCCGCAGCGCCTCACCGCATCACGTTGCACGGCCCCCGAATCCACACCTTGCAGGAGGCTGCTGCTTGCGGTGGATTTAAGGCACCCCCAGATTCCTGGCGGCCAAAGGCTGAGGGGCCACAGGTGAGGGACCACCAGCAAAGCCAGGGCCACAGGAAGCGGTGACAGCAACCAGCGCTGCCCGAGCCATGAGCAGAGCAGCAGGCATAGTCCATGCTGGTGAGCAGACAGGCAGCTCATCTCCATTGGGCACCAGCAACTACCAAAGCTCCCGCCACACTGCCTGAAGTGCAGGCATGCCGGTTCCTGCCTCCTCCTGCACCAGGGCAGGGGGTAATGCTCCAGCTCCCACATCTCCCCCACAGTCCCCATGCTCCTTCCTATTGCATCCAGCTGTCCTGCCTGGGCTGCAGGGACCTTCCCTGAGGAGCAGCGAATGGTGCCAGGTTTCAAGCCAGCGGCTGCTGAGAAACCTCTATTCGGCATCATGGGCATCTGTCACGACATGTGCCAGCTCCCGACCCCTGTGGCAAGCAGGTGTAATCCCCTGGGGCACTGGGCTGAGCTGGACGTGCCCTGGCATTAGGGATTAACACCTAATTATCCACTCACCTCTATAATCCCTGGTCAGGCTGGGCCCAGCCCAGGGACTTGCCCTCCAGGGAGAAGCAGAGGATGAGCAGAGAGGGCACCTCTCCACCCAGGAGGCCCCAGAGGCACAGGGTCAGGGTGCCAACAGCGTGAGCCTGGGGTGGCTGCTCCTATGGGGATATCCTCGGGGTCCTGCAGCAGGACAAGGGGCAGCACAGGGGCAGGAGACCCTCAGGTTAGTGCCCTGGAGGGGAGATGGCAGCTCTAAGCAACCTGGCAGAAGGCTGAAGCCTCCACGCTCCAGCTCCCTGTGATGAAAGAGAGGGATAAGAAAATCCCAAGGACGCGGGACGAGTGACCACAAAATGCTCAGGACACACACTGAGGTGGTGAAGATGGTTTTACAGCCCGGCAAACCCAGAGGGAGAGAGGTGCACCCCTCCTTCTGCTAGAGGGAAGAACCCTGACCCTAACCCAAGCTTGACCCTGACCCTAAGCCTAAACCTGACCCTAAGCTTAAGCCAGCATGGTGCAGTACAGCACCTGCTCCCCTGCAGAGCCGGGGCAGAGGGATGCTGCCGGGGCACTCCCATGCCTGGCACAGGCAGCAGGCATCGGCCACCAATGGATGGGGTGCTCCAAGCTCAGCCAGTTTCAGGCTCTCCCCAGGCTCTTGCTGGGGCTGCTGGGCTGGCGCAGCTGCAGCTGGCAACACTCAGCTGCTAACCCTGTCTTCGCAACTTCCTCCTGCCAAGACAGACCGGGGCACCCGGTGTTCCTTGCAAGCCACTCCGGTTTCACGCAGCCCCTCGCTCTGACCCAGCCCTCCATAGCTGGATGTGTGTCTGGCCCAGAAAACCACAGACAAATTATATTTAGTCCAGCAGCTTGCAGGCTTTGAGCTGAGGCACATTCCCCGTGCACACGAAGGTGAGTCAGGAGCCGGAGGCCAGACAATGCGGGAGAGGAGAAGAGACCAGCTGCACCAACCCAGCCCAGCAGGGCTAGCCCTGCAGCCCCAGCCCGGGACACTGCCCTATGCGGCTCCAAGCCTGCAGAAGGCATCCACCGTCTCCTTTGCGCATCCCGGGGAAGCCCCCAGCCCTGCAAACACAGCTCCAAGGGCTGGAGGATGGCTGCTGTGAGCAGGCAGGTAGGAAACACCAGCAAGGAGGCACAGAGATTCCTACTTCTTCCACTGCCTCTGGAGAGGAAGACGATGGACTCCGCAGAATTCACACCCCAGTTGCTGATGGGGACAGGGAATGCAATGGCAAAGTGACATTAATTCAAAACGCAACAGCTACGCTCTCCTGGGACCTCCCAAGCACCGGCTCTGCTCCTGGAGCTGTCCATTCCTGGGGGACAAGCAGCACCCTCAAGGCTTTGTGCTGCACACTGGTCCCAGCTCCTCCTCTAGCATTTCTGGCTCCTCTGTGGTGAACCCGAAGACAAACTGCCCTGGTACTGAGGGCTCAGTGCTGGGATATTTATAGAGGGCTTGTGTGACCTACCACCACCACCCCCATGGGCTGCTGTCACTAGACTGCTGGCTAGGCGATGGTGTTACCGAGGAGTTGGGCTGAAACCACACGTGTTCACCGACCGCCTTTGTGGTACCCTCTGCACGGCTCCAGCAGCAGCTGGAAACTCAGCTCAGCTGTCCTGCTCAGGCAGCACAAGCAGAAATGGCTTAACCAGCGCCGAGCGGGACAGGAGCGGCAGCAGAGCGAGCAGGGCGCCTGCCAGCCAGGCACCAGTCAGCCCCTCCATGCTCACGTAGCCAGGGTTTGCAGCTGAGCAGCACCTCTACCTTCACACTTGCTGCATGAGATGCTTTCCAGAAGCTGCCAGCCTGGGTCCGGGCTCAGCCTGCACGCCCTGCGGAACAGGCTGATGGCAGCCTGGGCTGCTGTGGGGAAGAGTCCTGGTGCCAGTGGCACAGCGGGACCCAGCTCCGGTGATGGGCCTGAAGCAGCCGGCCCGGTGGCCACCGTGAGGGTGCATGAGCGTCTCCCGGCCAAAACGCAGCCACTAGTGACACCAGCCGCTGGGGCAGGGGGGAAATATGTTTGCAAACAAGAAGTGAAACTGCTCTGCTCTGCTGCACTGCTCATCATCTTTGCTGTGGCAGAGCCAGCTGTGGAAGGAGGGTTTTAAAGGGCACATAGCTGGCCAGGAGCAGAGAATGACTGCAGAGATGCCAGCCAGGGAGGGCGATGCCACGCCAGCCATGGCCAAGCATCAAGGGCTGGATGCGCTACCTGTAGTCCGCTATGATTAGTCCGCAGCTGGCTCCATTTCCCTTTTTCCCCTGAGCTCTCTTCTCCGCTTTGCACCTTCCCCTCCTCCTCTCAGCCTGCTTTTTCTTCCCTTCCGCAGTTTTATTTTCCTTTCTCTCACTATTTGCCACCTTGCAACTGGAAACCATCTGTACTTCCCCATTACAAACAAGTTCCTCAGCACCTTCCTGCCCTTGCAGAAAGGCAGTTGCAACACGAGCCCCGATGAATGCGAGGCTTTTGCAAGACCAATTCCTGTCACTCACACACAGAAACTCCGGCAAACCTGGGGAGCTTCTCCCCCTCCGACAGTGCTAAAAAGCAGTGCAAGACACAGGGCCTGAGAAGGGCTGCGCACAGACCCCCTGCTCCCTCCTCCAGATGGAGCAAGAGGAAGGCTGGGTCCAGCCTTCCAGCTCCTCACATGGAGTTTGCCCTGGAGATGTCCCCAGGTTTGGCCCCGGAGAACCTGAACCTCCCCTGGGGACCCTCGGTGGTTTCCTCTGCTCCCTCAGCTGAAGAGGGAAGGATGGGACACCATGGGACCAGAGTCATCCCCCGCACCCATCCCCTCCTGCCACCACCGGCTCCAGGGCCTGGGGTACCAAAGGTGAACAAAAAGCCCCCACAACCGACACGAACGGAGCCAGAACCCAGCCCCGAGACGCCGTGACCCGCAAGAAGAGATCACTTGTGCCCTGCCCTAAAACAGCCCGGCAAGCCTCCAGCCTGGCCAGCTCAGCAACTGCCCAACTTCTCCCTGCTCCTGCTGAGGCTGGCAGTTCCCGTCGGCTGCTCGGCTCAGGGCGAGGAGGATGTGGCGTCGGCAGCACCGCGCTCGCCGCGGCCTTGCTGCCCCTCCCTTGCCGAGCCAAGCAAGCCGCCGGTGTTGCAAGAGCTGAGCCCTGCTGCCACCAGCCCTGAAAAGCTGACATGGAGCTCGAGGAACTCAAATAGCAGGATAAGCCCGGGGAGACCCTGCCCGGCCTGGAGGAGCCGTGGTCCCGTGGGAGTGATTCACAATGGGAGCCCAACTCACACATCATGGGACACTGATGGAGCGACAAAGCAGATCTGCAGAGCGACGATAAGGGCGAGCGCCCACTTATCAAAGGATGCCACCCGCGGCCACGTGCCCGGCGGCGTGCCAAGCCCTTGGCCCGCTTTGTCCAGACACTTCCAATCTGACGGCTGTGCCACCAGCCTGCAGCGCTTTCCTTTCCAGAGGAACTCGCCTGCCTCCCTCGCTCCCCGGGCGACAGCTCCATCTGCCGACACGTGGCCCCACAGGGAGCCGGTGCAGGGGACGCCACGCTCCCAGGAAGGGGGACAAACCCTGGCTCCAGGTCAGGGCTGGCCCCAAAGGGGTCCTCTCTCCGTGGGGGGACACCATGCAACCCTGCAGGCAGCTCCCCTCCATCAGCAGGGCCTTTCCAAGATGGGAGGAGGAAGCTGTGCCAGGTGGTGGCACTGTGCTGGGGGGTGGCATGTTCAGCCAGGGCATCACTGTGCCCCCCTGCACTTCCACCCAGGGATGTGCCACGGTCGACACGTCCTCAGAGGGGGCAAATGCTCCTTTGCTGGGCTTGGGCACATACACCAGGATGCAGGAGTGCTCCAGCACAGCTTGAGCCCTGCAGCATCAGGGAGAGAGTAAGCAGCCCCCAGCCCAAGTGAGTCCTGCAGGACAGGGGACGGGTTTGCTGTGCCTCTCGCCCCGTGCCCAAAACAAGCCACCCAGCAGCACCGGAGCAGATGCACAGGCTGCTCCAGCGGGTGCACGAGAGCCCAGGTGACAGCATCCAGTGACACCGAGCCCATAGGCTTTGTGGGCATGGGCTGCTCCCCCAGCAGAGCCCCCATCCTGCAGCAGCTTCACAGACCAGCTGTGGACAGGCAGACACACAGGATGGGCTCTGGACAGCCATGCCAGCACCTCCCACCTGCTTTCCTCAGCTCCTCGGGAGCAGGTAATGAACCAGCCCCAGCAGGTGACCTGGCAGAGAAGGGCGACCTGCAGGCAGATGGCAGCAGGGCACACCGGGTCAAAATGCCGGCAGGACTTTGCTCACAGTGTTCCCTAACATGAACTTGGGAGAAACCCACCTGAATTACCGGCAGAGAAAAGCCAGACATTTAGAGGCAGGCTGCTCACCTCCCTGATCCGATCCTCTGGCTCTGATGCTGTGACAGATCAGGGATGCATTACACCAGAGCTCTCTGCCCACAGCCCCTGCTACACACAGCTATGTGCACCCATCACCATCGGGGCATGCAGGCTCAGAGCTCAGCCCCGCGAACGGCCACCATGCCCAGCTCACAGCCAGCATCTGCTTTTTTGCTTCCCACGAGCTGACAGCAGGACTAGCGCTGCTGCTAACACACTGCAACCAAAACTCATGGGCTTGCTGCAATGCTACAGTCTGCAAAGGTGCATCACCTGCAGACAGGCGCTCCCCAGGGGTGACTGCTGCTTGGGGAGATGTTGTCTGAGGTGCAGTGCTGGGGGAAGGGATGCAGGGGCTCGGATTTCTTGCCAAAAAACAAGACAAGCCAAAAAAGATGAAATAAATAAAGGATTCCATGGGAAAGCCACCAAGGAGTGACTGCTGAGCTCTCGTTATCCCCATATCACCAGAGACAACAGACCACTTCCCAGCAAGAGGGGAACCCCAGGATCTCCAAAAGTCCCTTTCATAGGGAATCTTGCAGCCAAACAACTGCTAGAAGCTTCTTTTCCAAGTCTCTGAAATAAGCCAGCAAGGGGATGGGCTCGGTGAATTGCCGGAAAGGGATGATAAACAGCCATGATGGGGCAGGAACCTTAGCAAGGCACTCTCTGTAACTGTCTGAGCAGACCCCACGCACAGCGCTCATCCTGCTCATACATGGGCAGTGTGTCTGAGCAGATCCCACACACAGCACCCACCCTGCTCCGTAAGCAGTCAGCTCACCTGAGCAGACCCTGAGGACAGCACCCATCCTGCCCTGTATCCCTGTACACAATCCCTTCAGAGACGCTTGCTCCCAGTCCTCGCCAGCTTTCTGACCCCAGGATAAGGGCACACACCTCCGACAGTTTCCCCTAAAGGTCTCTGCTTTGCAAAGCAATCACCTTCCTGAGGCAATGCAGTCCAGGGAGCCCTGGGGACCCTTCCCCATTTAGTACTGTGGATGGTGAGGGTTGGACTGGGGATCAGCTGAGCAAGACACATCACTGAGGAGAAAAGGACAGAGAGGTCCAGGGAGCCCAGAGACCCAGACAAAGCTGAGCATACAAGAGGCACACATGCGCAGAAGGAGCTGTCACATACGGAGTTTCAAAGCTGAATGTCCTGCCCTGCCTGCCTGCGGCTCTGCCGGTGCCCACGGTCCAGCACTCATGCCACAAACCAGCACGGCACCAAAGCTGCATCCAGGCAATGGAGCCAGAAGCCCCTGGCTGGATCCTCTGCCTGACCTGCCGCACGACCAGCAAGTCCCCGAGCCCACTGGCCCCCTCACAGAGGAGAAGACCCACAGCCAGCCTGCTCAGTGCACCGATTTCTGGAGGAAAGGGATAACACAACATCTGCTGCCCACTGCTGGCAGCTGTTCCCAGCTTGCAGGACCAGCAGGTTCCCTGTTCCCCAGCACAGAGAAGCCAGTTTCCGCTCAGAAACAGACATCCTCAGGCAAGAAGAAGGGGTCAGCAAACCTGAACCACGGGGACAGTAGTGGGGCAGTTTTCAAATGTCAGCTCTAAGTGAAAACCAGAAAATAGGAAATTAAAAGATTCCTCCCCACCTTGTTTTGGTAAACCATGAATTTTGGTGACCATGTTTCCCAGTTTCACCTGCTGGTGTTAACTCCTTTAGCACCCAGTTACGGTTATTTCACAAGTGAGCGACAGCTGAAGCCCTCCACCGCCAGCCGAGAGCCCCCTCCCCAGCACCCAGCACTGCACGGAGAGAAGAAAGTAAAGTTTCTGTACCTCGGGACTTACTGTGTGTTTCTTAGTCATTCTCCAGAGGATGCACGTCAGAAGCATGTGGCCCAGAGCCGACGTGATAAAGACGATGAAGGCATTTTCATGGATTGCTGAATCAACAAAACAACAGGTTTCCTGTTAAATCTGAGCCAAGAGCACAAGGGGAACGTGGGACAGGCTTTGGGAGGGTGAAAGACTGCTTTCTGCAGGATGTGGTCCTGCTAGGAGTCCCAGCACCCAGCAGATGCTGTGCCCCCAGCATGAGCAGCAGTCCGGGGACCCAGGGTCTTTGCAGGAGACAGGCACAGCACGGCTCCGCACCCCTCGCAGAGAAGGGGAAGGGGGATTTAATAACAAAGCTGCTTGCGCATGCCTCCCTGCCCCCTGTAAGTCTGGGGCTGGAGGGGGATTCGAGTTGCAGGAAGACTTATCCCAAAGGTGCCAGGAGGGTGTTTATGTGCTCTGGCACCCAGTCTGAGAGTCTCCATTGCTTCACACAGCTGTAAACCTCAGGCACCCTTGAGAGCAGATCAGCATCACCACTATTGTTCTAGGCATGGGGAAACTGAGGCACAGGGTGGGGGGGAGTTGCAGAGTGAGCCAGTCCACGATCTAGAAAGGGCCACCTTCTGGCCTCCTGCATTATCTGACTGCCAATTAACAGTTGCCATCAGCCTCATCACCAGCACCAAGGCTGCCTCGTGCGTCACTGAACTAGCCCAGATTTAGGGTCAGGCTGGAAGTGCAGCTGGAGCAACACTAAGCCAGAGCAGCCCACGAAACCCCAAAGCCACACACAAAGCCCATGCAACTTCAGGTAAGTTATTTTCAGATGAGTGTTTCTGTGTAAGAGTTTCCCAGCCTCTTCTCCAGGAACTGAACCATAGGCTGAATTCCCAACCACCTGAACATAAGAAATGATCTTCCCTGCTTCCCCTCTCGACTCCAGGGGAAGGGAAACCACATGAGGAGCAATGGTAAAGGCAGCTATTACAGGTGAAGACGTGAGCCGTGTCCTGCAGAGACGATTAACCTGAGCCCATTCTCATCTCAACACGGCAGCTAAGGTCTGAAACTTTCCCCACAAACCTGAGATCAGTCTGTAATAAGGATCTGAGATAACTGGGTTAGCCTCAGCTCTCAGTGCGGCTTTTGCCCAGCCACTCAGCCACATTTCAGTCCCCTCCTCACAAAGCTATGCACAAGGCAGTCAGAGCCATTCGGGTGATGATGTGCTCTGAGGTATCCAAACCCCAAAAGAGCATCTAAATTTCTTAGGGTGTGCTCCCAGCCCTGACACGTTTGAGAAGCCTTGCCGTCAGGTCAGTCTGCAATCCCCTGCTGTGGTGGGGGCAGCTGGGGACACTGGCAGAGGCAGGCAGGGTGGCAACGCGATGCCTCACCGCAGGGGACAGGGAGTGCCAGCAGGAGACAAGGAAGGTGAGCTGGACAGGAACATCCCCTAGACCACAGACCTCCATCAGCTGGAGGTTCATGTCCAGCCATTCCAGGTCACTGGGCTCCACGACGGATCTCCATCCTCACCCTAAAGGCTGGGGAGGTCCTTGGACTCCGTTCATGACACCGCAGCCCTGAAGCCAGCAGCCTTACTGGTGAAGGCCCAGTGGAAGCCAGTGAGCACCCAAAGCGGGGGAAGCTTCATCAGACGGACAGCCAGTGTGCCTGTGACAGACCCCAGCACAGACTGCTCTGGGCATGGCTCCCGAGCGATGACCAGGTGAGCAGAAAGGCAATAACCACTGCACTGTGAAAGACAGAAGCATCTGTGAGTAGGAAAATAAGCAGCATGAGCAGAGAGCTGTCAGCTGTCTCACCAGCCCGAAGGGTGTTGGGGCTCATGCACTTGTTAGCTGTTTTTCCTGGATAGCCTGTCGTTTTGGCACGCAAGATGCAATGTCTCCAAAGACCTGCTTTGACAGAGAATCAGGACAGCGCCTGCACTGCTCTGCTCTGCGCTTTGAATGTGAAACCTTGCTCCGATGGCAGCAGTGGGGTGGAGGGAGCTTCAGACATCATCCACCTGGTCCTCTGCACTGGGGCTGGACCCATCAACCCCACAGGCATGTTCCCAGCCTTCTTGGAGGGCTCTGGTGGCCATAGCCTGTTTCCAGTTTGCTGCTTTAAGCAGTTACAAGGCTTCCTGATCCCCACCACATCTGCCTTTCGAGAGCTTGTTTTCCTCACCCATTGTGAGTAGGAAGATACTCTCAGTACAGTATCAGCCGCGTTCCCACCTCCCTATCTCACCTCCTTTGCTGCAAGGAGACAAACTCTATTCTGTCAACCTCCCCTCACCAGCACCTCTCCAAACCCTCTGTTCTTGGAGCTCTGGCCTGGCGTCTCTTTGCGAGACTTTGTGACTACATCCTCCAGTGTGTTCCCACAGCCGGATACAATATCCGTCATCATCACCCTCAAACTGTGTGCAGGAACAGCCAACACACGACAATCCTGCTGAGAAGTCCCAGAACTGGGTTTGTTTCCGCTGCAACAGCACCACCTTGCTGGCTTGTGGATTTGAGTCCTGCCAAGTCAATCCCCAGTGCCTTCTCCAGATTTTAGGATTAAACAGTGTCTGGATATCATCACTGGCACTTAAATCCATTTCAGATGAGACCATGTGGGAGAAGGACATTTCCCAGCCTACATTGATTGTATTCTGCACACACTGATTTAACCTAAAAAAAGTCTGATTTTGTTTTCAGGTCAACACAAGAAATTCTACCCAGACAGTTTTGTGGGAGGGTATTTAAAATGCAGCTGGAACAGAGCGTGGGCTGGAAGCCAGCTCAGAGCCAAAGCCAAAGCTCAGCAGTGGAGACAGAGCGGATAGCAGGGACAAGCACTAACCTGCCTTTGCTCAGCTGAGGTGAGACACATTAAGCATGGCCTCGGCACACAAGTGGGAACAAAGCACTAAAGTCTGATCCTAGTCTTGATACAAAAATGCAGCCTACGGTTTCAGCCAGTTATCAGCAACCAAGAATTTTGGGAAGAACACGGCTATTTGCACATAACTTTGCTCTATAAATACTAATTTAAATAGTTTTTTGGTTTTTTTTTTTAAGTTTTTTCCCCTCCAATACTTCCAAAACACTGGCATGAAGCAGAACTCTGCAAAGCCTCGGCAGCCATGAGCTAGACCACCAGCACAACGGTCAGCACAGAGCATGGGAGGAGACACCTACCATAGTTTTCAGATGAGGACACGTACGTCAGAATAAGGAGGGAGAAGTTTTCAAGCAGGTTGAGCAGCAGGTTGAAGTGGCACAAGCGCAGGTAGCGAGGGTGCGAGCAGTGGCAGCTCTGGTAGTGTTTCCAGTAAGCGACTGCCACCAGGAAGCGGGGAGCCGAGTGGAGGCCGATGCAGAGGCGCCAGACGTAACGCTGGGGAGTCTCGCCTCCGATAGCGGCGCTGATGGAGGGGAGGTAGTTAGGGACCTGGAAGAGAAACAGCGGCTCATGGGGAGAGGCGTCAGGAGTGTGTCATATTGTTGTATCTGTAGCCCTCCAAGACTCTAAAACTAGGGGTTTGGGTTTTTTTTTCCCCTAAATAAGTTTAATGCTATTTCAAAAGCCGAGGAACATAATGTGGCAGCAACCCTGGTTCATCCCCAAGGACCACGCAGCCCTCAGCCCTGCCGGGACAGTCCCCAGGTGCTGGGGTGCCCTGCTCATGGTCCCGCTCAGGTTTCTTAAGCTTTATACCTTTGACTTTTATTCCTTCCCTTTACTCAGTCACAGTCCCCCATGTCTTCTGTGCCCCCAGGTTTGGGGAGAGAGGAGAGAAGGGTGCACAGTTTTGTTAGGCCAACTCTAACAGAGAAAACTGATAGCAAGAGCAGGCAAAGACAATGTTCAGGGAGGAACACAAAAGCAGGAACACCATCAATACAGCCCCAGAATAAACTCCCAACCTCCAGAATTTCACAGCTCAGGGACTTCCCAAGCCAGCCACGATTTCTATGCACCAGGTAATCCACTCTTCCATGATCCTGCTCAGTCTCCCCTGAAGCCCACGCAGAACAGTGCATCCCCAGCATCCTGTAGAGGCGTTCCCCAGATCAGCTACTCTCAAGGCATCCAAGAAGGAGCTGGTTCCTCAAGCAGAACCTGCCACCTCCATACAACATCCCCTACTTCTCATACTGGCAGAGGGCGAGCAGTGGATCCCTGCCTACCGTCTCCAGGTCAGCCACAACCTCAGAGGTCTCTGTCTTGCCTCTCCCCACTCTCAGCCCAGAGTTTCTTCCTGTGTGCAGCTGAAGAGCCCTCGCTTCACCACCCCAGGAACAGGAGCTGCGTGACACCGCCCTTGCTGCCCTGCCCCATACACCTAAGTGGTGAGGAGGGGACAGAATCACAGGCTGGGTGTGCACATTACTTATCTCTCCAAATCAAACCACCCTGGTGTTTTGTTGCTCCACCACCCCCCTCAGCAGCCTGCCTCACCCTCCCTGCTCCAGGATCTCAGCATAGCTATCAGCCTGTGTCACTCCACTGCGTACAGGCATGAGGAACAACACAGACCCCATAAAGCCCTGGGGTCATCTCCTGCTGGTGTGAGAATGACTCCTGCCCTGTTCTCAGCTTGTAACCAGCTGCTTATCCGTGCTTGTGCCATGGCTGCTTGAAAGCCCTGGGGAGGAACCTGATCCCATCCCTTTAGGAAATCCAGGCGGTCCTTCTCAACCCCAGCTCCCCAGGCATGTGCCTGTGACTCCTCTGAAGAACTCCAGCAGATATGAGGGGCAGCAATTCCTTTTATTAAAACGGGGCTAACTCTTCCACAAGACAGTATATTTATCTGTAGCTTTACTAGTTTTATTCCTTACCATAATCATCACCAACGTGCCTAGTACAGACATCAGCTTGACCAGTCTGTACTTCCCTAGGTTGCTTTTAAAAAGCTGAAACCTCAGTTGGTAGTCCCCAGGCATCACAAGTACATTAAAATAAAGCAGTTTGTTCAAGATCCTGTAACACTTTTGGTGGGAAAGCCTGGAAGAAGAGAGGACCCCTGCCACCCCACCAGCTGCCCCAGCCAAGCAGCCACAAACTTGAAGAACATTCTGCTGAAGAGAGTCGCTTACCCCGCAATGGGTTGCTGTCGTCTCCTGGAAATGGAACAGCAGAGACCAGATCACACAGAAAAGGAAACCAAAGAGTGGGCAAAACACAGTGCCAACGGCCAGTGTGGTAAAACGGAGCCGGAAGAGGATCCCATCTCGATCCAGGGGCAGCGGTACCTGTAACATCTTGATGGACCTGAAGACAAACAAACAAGCAATGTTTGATGGGGATTCTCTGTAGTCCTGCAAGGTCCAGCTCCAAACAGCCCTGGGCAGGGATGCACGCATACAGCTGGCAGAGATGGCCTCTCACACCCCTGTTTGACAGCAGCACAGCCCTAGTGCAGGCATCAAGGACAGGCAGCCGAAAGCACTGTTCTGGAGACGCAGAAAGCCTGAGACTCCTGTACAACAGGGAGCAGGGCCAGAGCAGTGGCCAGGAAGGAGCGGGCAGCGGGATGTGTGGGCAGCAGGACATGAGGGCAGCGGGACATCCCGCGCTGTGCTGCAGACAGCAAGACCGATTTGGCTGGAAAGGCATGTGAGCTTTTTTCGGCGGGGTATGTCTATCCAGACCGTTCCCGGGCTAAGCTCAGAGCTGCCGCACAGGACAGCGCTGACATAGCGAGGGCACTGGGTGCTGCCTGCCAATGCTGCCGCGAGCTGTAGCTCTTCCACCACGTCCCCAACCACCCATGGCACCGTCCTCACTCCGCTGCCACTGCGCCGCGGCCCCACATCCAGCACCGTTCCAGCCGAGCGCTCAGCACCTTTACAAGCAAGACTCTGGCTGCAGGATCAGGATCTTGCAAGCCCTGCACCTTGCACAACAATAAAGCCATGGTTCATCAGGTCGGGCAAGTTGGGACAAGCAGTTTATCAAGCTCGCAGCCTGCCTCTGGCTCAGGGCTCTCCATCAGCTCAGTCCCAACACTCGCTGGCTGCTCTCTTGCCCTCGGCCACGGCTGTTCATCCTTTAACATTCCCACGCACCCTTGGCCGCAGCCCAGCTGCCCTCAGACCGACGGGGTCAGAGCCACATTAAATCAGTCTCGATCACCACATGCGTCTTCCTTCGAGCTCTCCTCCCTCCACGGCAGGCCCCAACCTCTCCTGTCCCAGCAGGCTCCCCTCTGCCTGGGGACAAGGGCCACCGAGCAGCCCAAACGAGGGGCTGCGACATTCTGCTCCAAGCGAGCAGTTCGGGATCCCTGCCTCTCCTCAAGACACCGTGCGGGCTCCAGAACAAATCCGATTTATAGACAATCCCTCAGAAGCCAGTTACCAGCGAGGACAGGAGTCTGGGCAGCTGCCCCAAGGCAGCGCATCCACCCCCTCTTCCAGCACCATAAGCCCCCCCTCCAGCACCAGGGACCATCCCTGCAAGCGCTGCGCCCACCTCAGCAGCCAAGGGCTATGGAAAACACAGCTCAGCCCCCTCGCCTGGGCTCTGCCGCTGCTTTACAGGCTGCTGCGAGTTGGGGGGAGTGGGTTTATTTACAAGATAAAAGCAAAGCAAAAGGGAAGCTCTACTGTGGCTCTGCTGGAGCCCTTTAGGGTCAGGACTGCAGCAAGCCGGACTGGGGGGAACGGGATCCCATGGCCAGCCCAGGCTCGCCTCTCCAGGATGCTCCCCCCCCCCCGCAGCGACCCCCACCCCAAGGGGACACCCCTGAAGGGCAGAGCTGTCAGAGGCAGCCGTGCTTCCTGCAGAGCAAGGCCCAGGTTGGGGGGACGGGGACCCTCGCACCCTGCGCCCCCCTTGAGGGGACACACGCACACCGCGCAGCGTGTCATGGGGATGTCCGAGGCAGGGGGGTGTCCGTGGGGGACAGCCTCGCGGTGGGGGGGACACGGGGACGACGACACACGGTGACCCTGTTATCCCCAAAAAGGGAGACCCCGCTTAGCCCCCCCACCCCTCTCTTTGCCCAAAGGGGGCAAATAAAAAAAGCAAATCTTTTGTGTCACACGCTGAACAGCCCCGAGCCTGCCCGGCACCCCCCACCCCGTAGAGACACCCCCCTCGGCACACCCCAGCCCCCAGAGACC